ACAAGAGCACATCAGGGTGTGTATTAGGCTCTCTTGTTGGCCTGAGCGTTGTGACCTGTTGTGAGGATTACTACACAGTGATATGTCTGGATGGGACAGAGCCAAGAGCAGAGTTTCCACCCAGGAGGAGCTTAGACTGTGTGCTCCTTCCTCCAACAGTGTTTAACAAACAGCCACATTGTCTGTTAGCTAAAATTAAATATGTACGTATACATGGCACTGGACTCACTAAAGTTGTCATGAGTCCTAATATAGAACTATAGTTTAATAAAAGTATATTAACTAAGTTTGCTTTCTAACAGTAAAGCCAGTGAAAGATGTTCAAGTCTGGACAACTCATGTAAAAGAGAACTTGAAATTTAGAGCACTGCTTTCAACAGTCCCATTCACTTGTTTTGTGTGTATAAAGAAGCACAATTTAAGCCTGTCTTTATTAAAAGCATATCAGTTCATGTTTTTTCTAAAAGTGTTGTTGTTGTTGTTGTAAAGACGGGCTTCCACCAGTGCCGTATATTGACATTTTAATTGCAGTGTGAGCCTGACAGCTTCTAAACCAGCAGTGTGACCATGATTACATTTTTGCATCTCCTTCACTTTTGCTATTTAATGTCGATATGAGTGACAGACAAAATCTTGGGTCACATTTAGATAAAAAGCAGTCATATCATGTCTGTGGGAAGTGCATGTTGTGCCTCAATTGTATTTTTATCGTATGAACCTACAATCATTCTGCCAACCACTGCAGAATTCTCTTCTGTACTATGCTAACAATCTCAATCATCTTATTAAACACACACACGGCACACACACACACACACACAGACACACACATACACACACACACAGTTTCCATGGAAACAAGATCCAGGGCCTTTTATGACTGGTTGTTTGCCCAAGACAACTAAAAATGGTCTCAGCAGCCATGCAAAGATGGGAGATAAATCACTTAGATAATAAATAATGGGACATGTACTAATATAGAACGTGAGAAGATGTTTGTTGTTGCTTGAAGCAGCAATGTTATTGAATTTAGCTCTAGACATTGTCACATTCATCAGATAAATTCTTAAATTCTTCTACATGTGTGACATTGTGCATCTCCGCTCTTTCTCTCTGTTCTGTTGTCACACTATTTGTGCTGTGTTTGCACACATAGCACCGCCTCTAATGGCCACACACGGACACGCATTCAGAATCAAACACACACACACACACACACACACACACGCATAGGGACACTTTCCAGCCGCGCTGCCCTTCAGTAGCCTAATGTGTGTCTGAAGGCCAGATGGCGAAGCAGTGGGAGGGCTGATTCGCAGAGCTAGCCGTGGTGCTAGCAGTCTTAGTTTTGGCTAGCCCTGGCTGGTTGGAGAGGTAGAGTGTGCAGCCAGCTTCCCCTCCGAGTGACAATGGCAAGTGTACAATTCACAGCCATGCACGCAGCATCTCGGTTTGCTGTGGTTGCAGGAGAAACTTGTGTATTTCTTTTCGTGGGAGCCTAACCGAGTGTTCGTTTGACACTTCACTGTGAATTATACCAGCGTCATTCTGACCCTTGTTGTGCTCATGTCTGCTAGCCTTATTTTTAGTTTGTTTTGATGCCGTTCACACATGTTTTCCTGTTTGTGTCCACAATGACAGGAAGTAAGCTGAACAAGGACCTGAAGCATTATCTGAGCCAGCGCTTCCAGAAATCCTCGCCTGACCACGAATTGCAGCAGACCATCCGAGACAACCTCTACCGTCACGCCGTGCCTTGTGAGTCCATGACCATCTTACACCTCACTCTGTCATTCCTTTATCTCATGTTTTACATCTGTCTCCCTGCTCTCCTGTCTTCTCCGTGTGCTGGCATTTATATGAGCCATTCTTTCAGTTCCTGATGATATTCTTTACACACAGTCTTTACACCAGGGGTCTCCAGCCATTTTGAGAATGACCGCTACCTAAAGGAAGAAAATTGTCAGAAGGGCTACTCTGTATACTAACATCCATGTTAGAATTCCATAGAATAACAGCGGTGTGTCTTTGCACCTTTTAGGCAGTTTCATATATAGGGTTGAAATGTGAATTGGAATTGCGGGTGTGAAGCATGGTTTCAACTCAGAACATAATAAAGGCTTTTCTCAATATACTTTTTAATTAATAAAAGCATACCAGTCATGTATTTAAAGGTTTTAAGGCTTCCTTGCAATATATCTTTAAAAACCTATTTAAGATTAAGATTACAGCACATGCTCTGTGGGCAACTCATAGGGCAGGGCTGCCAGGTGCCCTCAGCCTCAGGCTAGCTCCATGTAATGACTGAGTGTAGTCACCTCACACAGACACTTTGGATGGTTATCTAATTAATCCTGATTATTTCAGGCTAATCTGAGCCTGTTTCCTTTGCCATTTGGCCAATATTGGCCATACAGTTAGCCAGGCTGATTACTTAATATCTTCCTTGGAACTAACCTCTTGTCATGGGTTGATGGGTTTTATCACACATCATCCCTCTTCATCCCAGAATTGACTTGTCTATTTGCCTCCCAAACTGATAGCAAGTTGATGCAAAGTCAGCCACCATCCATTCGGTAAGCATAGTGTTTGCCTTACTAATATTGTCTGATCAGTTAGAGGAAATGTCTGGTGTCCCCACAGTGAATAAGCTAGTAGTATCTCATGTCCACGGGATCAATAGCACCAGCAATTACAGGCGCTATGGCTTCATCCGAGTCCCTCACCCTCGATCACTAACCAGTATATCCTCTGCCAAAGCAAGCAGTGTAATCCAGGAATAAAGGCTTGTGTCTTTTGGCTTTTTTTCCCCCCTGACTGTTGCAGAGATCTGAAGGCACATTGGTTTTTTGATGCTGCATATTTCTCTTGTCGCGGCTGCACAAAAGCTAAAGTAGATATTTGAAGTGGTTTATCCTTCCCTGCTATAAAAACAACCCTTGAAGATGGCATTGGTGCTAAGAATGTGGCATTGTGGCATTGTAGCATTAACGCCATAATAGTAGAGTAACTGTGCAGTTCTCTCTAGGGGTGGGGTGGTGGTGGTGGTGGTGGTGGTGGGGGGGTCTACAATAAACACATATTTTTAATAGCAAAATTAAATTTGGTGTATGCAAACTTGAACTTTAAACAACTTTTTTTATTGGTAATTACTTTTTGCATTCTTCATCATACATACATCCCCAACAAGCGTTAGCATATTGGATTTCTTTTTGTTTTGCAGTTAATTTCGGACTCAAAAGGCAGCACCTACCCTTCCCCAAAACCATGCTTTTCCCTAAATGGTTCTCATCCATTGGCTTTTCAATTAGTTTATTCATGTCCCTCTCACGCAAATTACTATCTGTATTCAGGAGGCTTGTTTAAGGGACTTTATGTGCATTACCTCCACTGCCATATGTCAGCCAGACACTGGTGGAGGGTGGGGGTCTGACCATAATGGCCATTTTAATCACTGAGTGGTCTATGGCACACTAGTAAAAATCCTGGTGTTGTTAGCGGTAAACAAAGCATGAAGGTGTTCCCCTGGCCATATGTTTTATAGGATTATAAAGTTTTTGTTGTCATGCTCTTGTAAAGGAGGGTCGCACTGTCACAGAAATATTACATTTATAAATACTGCAGCTTCATTTTTTTTCTTTGTGTTATGGGAGGGCATGGTCCAGTGGGCACAGTCCATGAATAAGTACTCCCTTATGCCCTTCACACTCAGGGTAAGACATGACCAACACAGCAATTGCATAGGAAAGCATACATACTGTGACTGCTTTGGCTTGTGTTTGTGAGAGGTTAGTGTGTGTCCATGTTGACATATGTCCAAAGGGTGTTAAAAGCACTGTCCATGTGCGTGTGTAGGTGTGTAGGTGTGATTAATGCACAGCAAGCAGGTGGACAAACAGATGGAGAAGTTTGGCTGTTGATGTTGAGTTTTTTCCTGCCTCTAAATCAGGCAAAATGGTAACTCAACCAAACTCTCTGCACGTTCATGTGAGGCCTTCTAGTACACAGTAGGCGTTTTCGGACCTAACCGTTCTGAAGAGTCCCTAAGAAGAAGAACTTCCCACTGGGAGCTTCCCATAAAACGACATACATTCAAGGGCTTTTTTCCGTTTGCGTTCAGAATGCCAATAGTGACGTAAGCCAGCCTGCGGTTGGTATAGCAACGTCGCTCCTGCTCAACATTTGTCAGTCCAACTTTTCTTAGAACTTGAAAAAGTTCCTCCAATCTGAAAATGCCTGATTTTATGAACAACAGTCTGTTAGTCAAGTCTTTTTTTGACTATATCAATTTGAGCCACATTCAAATAAAGTATGTAGTTTTGACTTGATGATGGACAAGAAGCATTTTGTGCATCTGTCAGCTGGTCAATAATCAAAATAGGTTGTTTGTCAGCAGTGATGCAGCAGCAGTTGGAGAAATATACAGTGCATCAACAGAATATCTGAGTTATATGTTGTTTCTGCAGCTGTCCGTGAACGCATATTCAAGCCTTAAGTAGTCCCTACACTTGCAGGCTTATCTTTGACTAGTTTAGAACTGAATAAATGAATACACTGTCAATACGCTTATTGGCAATTTTCGGGATTAGCCATTTCTTTTCAGGATGGAAAAATATTTGTTTCTTCATAATTCATGCAACACTATTGGGGGCCACTTTCCAATCTGTTTCAGTCCAAGAAATAACCAACACAATATAAAACTAAATTGGAGATTCCACCAGACCTGTCCACCTTGGGATACTTTATAAAGTTGGTTGTAAACATAAACTAGTCTCCTCCTCACTTACATCTCCAAAAAGTCAGTTGTTCCCATAACCCTGCTAAAATTTGAAGCACAGCACTCTCACCCTCCCCCATCTGCTGAGGCGTCCGTCGGCTTCCCTTGTGGTCACCCCATCCATGCTTTCAGCATTCCCAATCTCCCATTATCCCCACCAACCCTCCACCCCCTCTATCCTGCTCTCATTCCTGACCCCCCCCCAAC